CCCCCATGCGGGCAGTCTGCTCTCTGGGCCCCTTCCCCAACACTTTGGATAAGCTCCTTAGGCAGACAGAGCCGGGCAATAGGCGGGTGTCTATTGGGGTTCAGGGGTGCCCCGACAGCCTGGATGGGGGATTCAATAGCGTCCTGATTGCCCCCCCCAAAGGCCAGTTCTCTTTCAGATGTGGCATTTCTCTGTTGAGCTGTGACGTGGCGCGGTAGCTGGTCGTGTGGACGCTGCCACCACACAGCCAGCCTGGCTCCAAAGGCTGCCGTCCGTGGGAGGTTCCTAGCGCGCCCCACCCCACCCCACCTACCCCACCCCGGGTGCCACACTCGCGGGCTTCTGCACGCCTCCAGATCACAGCTAATTCTTGGTCCACGATGCCATTTAGAGTGTGTTTCCTACTAAATAGCGGAAAATTACCCTTTCAAGTTAACGAAGCCGCTTGGCCTCACTGGGCTGCTGAGAGGACCTTGTAAATGTCAGCTCAGAGGAGCCACTCCTGTCTTCCGGGTTTTCCGATTAAGAACGGCCTCCCCTGCGAAGACCTAAGCGGCCCCGGGCAGTCCGCCTCCGCCGGCCCTCCGGTGACTGGAGCCGCCTGTGTCCTTGGCCTCATAGCGCTTCCCTGCGGTGCACCCTCCCCTCTGGCCCTGGGAGCAGGGAAGGCGGGGCTCCCCCTGCTGGGGAGGCGAGGACAGCGATGCCCAGGTGACCCGGGCCAGCTGGGAATGAGTGGCTCTGGGATGTGCCCGTCACAGCCGTGACACGCATGTGGGCGGGCAGCAATGACAGGGGTGCCTGTCCCTGGCTTGTCACAGGCACCTGAAACGCCCGTCGCTCCTCTGGACGAGCATGGGGTCAGGGGAGTGGGAGCTGGCGGAAGGCAGCCAGTCATTCCCGGCCGAGAGGAAGGCGCGGTTGGATTCCGTCTGAATAAGCTGGCTTCACACGACGGTGAAGTGGGTGCTTACGTTGTATTAATATTTTATTGGCACCGACGAGGGGGAAGCTTGGTTGTTACCTTCCGCCCCGCGGACACAGGGGCTCCATCCAGATGCAAGCAGAATGCAGCTCGAGAAGCTGCTCGCCCGCCGCTTGGTGGAGGCGCAAGAGGCCGCGGGGGGCTCCTTCGCTGTCTTGCTTGGGTGCTCGGAGGGCTCTGCTTGCTGCTCTCACCTTTCCTCAGCCACTT